TCTTCAAGAATTGAATGTGGAAGTAAACAACCTAAGAAAGGGATGTTATGTTAGGACAGTGGTGTAGCTTTTTAGACAGATAAAACAAGGTAATAATGGGAGAATCTATGAACTCTTCTTAATGTTTCATGAAGCCTTAACTAATTTGTACACTTATGAAAAGACTGCAGAGGCTAACTAAAACATTTGTTTCTTTGCTTTTGGGTGAAATATTAATTTAGTGTAGCAACATTAGCTCTCTCAGGTTAATCAAAAGTTCCTATTGTAACTTAAAAGTTTGACTGATACAAAAATGGAAAAAAAAATTACTTATGCACTTTATTTGGGATACAAAGTCATTCTATTCACAGTGGGTGGGAGGGGAGTAGGAATTAAAAAGAAGAGACCTAGGTAAGGGGAGAGTAGGAATTAAAAGAAGGCACCTAGGTGGTTATAAAAAACATAAAACAGGTTGGGAATCACAGGATTAGATCTACTTTATGTCAGTGATTACTTGAGACCATTTTGGTGTCAAGATTCTATCTGCCGGTATCTTAAACTCTTCCGTGATTCGAAAGATAGAAATGACAGATACCCTCATCTTCTCTCTTCCTGAAAGCTAAGGAGAAAAGTAGAGCTGCTTCTCTGAGAAACAAAGATGCTTTCTACCATTATTCTAAGATGGTGGAAGAGTCTCCTTAAGAGGCTTCCCCAGGAAGGAAAAATGAAAGCGGGAAAGAAGAAAGCCACGGCAGAATTCCCTGGCTGTGTTTCATGCCATTGCTCCGTCACATCTACCGTACAACCACTCTGGTCCGGCCATCTCCCTCCCAGGAGGTTAAGCCCTCCTAGGGCATTGTTTGGCCGGGGTTCCTATTCACGACTCAGATCGCCTTCACCATCCCTGCACTAGGATCTCGGGAAGCCCCAAGGCAAAAAGCTGGGAGAGGACTTGGTTCGAGGACCTCCTCCAAACCTCCTCTTACTAACTGGTGTAGGAAAGGGAGATGGAAGCCTGGCCTCTGCTTGGGTGGGTTCCTTAGGGGTCAGAGGCGTCCCCTCGGCCGGTGTCGAAGGGATGTGGCCATTTGCGCCTGGCGCTGGATATTGAAAAAGCCCTACCAGGGCAAGGGGCCTCCTTAGGCCCCGGACTCCAGGCGTCAGGTGCGGCCCTCAGTTCCCAACCTCGGGGTACCGGCGACGACAGCGCACAGGCCCCGGGCTAAGACCCGTCTCCCGCCCGACCACCGGGACCAGGCACCCAGGCTGGGGCCCGAGCTGCATCGCGCCCGCCCCCGCCCTACCTGAGGGGGCCCGGGCGGGGTCGCTAAGGGCCGCTCCCGGGAGCCCCGCGACGGCGCGGCTCGGCGACGGAGGCGCCTCGTCTCGCCGGGGCAGAGCTCGGCGGCGGTTTCACGACCTCAAACTCCATCGGGAGCTACAGGGACAGCCCCGTTGGCGGCGGCGGCGGAGGCCGCGGCGGGGCCTCCTCCTCCTCCCTCCGCCTCCTCCGCCTCCTCCTCCTCACCACGGAGGCGGACCTGGAGGGATCCCGACCTAGCTCTCGCGAGAAGATACTCCCCACTTCACGCGAGATAACGCAGGACGGGGAGTTGAGGAGGTGGAAGGAAGCGTAATAGCGCCCACCACCTGGACTGCGCATCGGCTTCCCTCTGGTCGAGCCGAAACACCCCCATCACGTGACTAGGTAGCCCCAGAGTACTGTGGGAAGTGCTGTTAGGATGTCTAGGTAAGCCGAAGGGGTTGATGGGAAACTCCCTGCGTATTCATCTGAGCCTTGAGCCAGCCTCCTAGACGCTGGTTTGAGGCAGTGTCGAGCGTAGTCTGATAAGTTTTACGTTCGACTTCACTGTCCCGTAATCAATTGATGACCTGATCCCTCAATCCCTCCAAATAGGTGCCAAGCAATTTCCCTATTAAGAAAGAAAGAAAGAAAGAAAGAAAGAAAGAAAGAAAGAAAGAAAGAAAGCGTTTGGCAGGCGCTTACACATACCTTATCTCTTTATTGAAGAGAAAACTCTGATCTCTTCAGAAGGAGGCAGGGATAAAAATTCAAGCACAAATTTAGTTAATATCGCAGGAAATATTTGTTGTAGGATTATTCACAGTAAACTGTAAGGTAGAAATTATTCTTATTGTTTTTATAGATGAAGAAACAGACTGGGAATAGGGATAAGGGAATTAACATTTATGGGCTACTTTCTATGTGCCAGGTCCTGTGTTAGGTGATAAAAATTTCATTTTTACTATTTTATTTCTATTTTATTTACTCATCAAAATAATCCTAAAACGCAGATACTATGTGCTCTTGGTTACTGATGAGAAACTGAAAAACAGATTAAGAAAATGGCCGGAAGTGGTAATTAAACTCAAGGCACTTCCTAGTGTGAAACCAGATGTCCAACAAAAGCATCTATGGAAGTACGAATTAGAAGACATACGGAAAAGTAGTTTATAAACTATAACGAGTTTAAAAAATATACATGGCTTTACTGCCTGGATGACAGGGAAACATCAGTATTTTTAAAAAAATATTCATTGGCCACATCAAAGACTTTTCTTCCATGAATTATCCTTTTTATTCTCTTCTCTTTATGAAATGTATGACAATCCAAGAGAAAGGTTCCCAACGATGGTTCATTTGTTTCAATGTTTTCCATTCAACTAGATAGTGATGGAGATATATATATATATTTTTTTCCCATTCCAATGGATAGTGGTATATGATAATCTGATTTTTGAAAGGTGGCCTGATCACCTGATCACCATATTTAAAATGACAATCCCAATCCCCCTTCCCTGGCACTCCCTATCCCTGCCTTAATTTTCTCCAACTCTGTTTTCAAAATCTGACATACATTAATTTTATTTGTTTACTGTTTGTCTCCCTCCACTAGAATATAAGTTTCACGACAGCAGGGACCTTACTTCTAGTACAGGTATATATTGTGAGGACTCAGTAAATATTTGTTGAATGAATGATTAAATGAATAGCCAGGAGACATAGCTTCCTTCTTTAAAATTAACAGATGTAGACAAAACACAAAGCTCTCCATTCCCATCTCCAGTTTATTATTTCTTATGTAAACATATAGGATAGTTACATCCAAGGAAAAAGGGCAGAGATTTTCTTTTACACCAAAGTAACAACTACCATTCCTAGATCTTTTACACATAAATGCAGTAAATGAACAGGCAGAACTCAAACACACTGCATTTTTTCCATCATGAGAAAGACAAACAACTAAAAGTGAATGTTTTAAGTGAATACATTTGACACTTTACTTTGCCATACCTGCATTTTAAAAAAGACTCCATTTTCCTGAAACTGTTTAGACACATCATGCAAACAGACACACTCCTAGGAATGTTTTGAGATCATTCGATGCTACTGAACAAGAATAAATAATAATAAATAATAGCCATCACTTTCACAAAACACCCCTTCCCCGCAAACAAAAATCTCAAAGTGCTTACAAAATATTTCACAAGAATCTTACAAGGCACACATAAAACTTAAAACATAGTTCAACCATAGTTTTTTTCAAACATCAAAGATAGCAGATATCAATTCCTAAAAAACCAAAAACTATTCTTTTACCCTCCCCTCCCATCTCCATCCCTCCCCCACAAAATCTCATCCTAGGAAGCAAAAATAAGAAAAGTACTTCAATCACAAACTATTTCTGAAAGAGGAATATTTTCATGCCTACAAATGGCCAATCATAGGTCAAATTGGAAAGAAAATTAAGCGTGGAGTTACCATGTTCTCCAGTGGAAGAAAAACCCTATTTAGAAAAATTCTGTCTCCAATGGAGTACTCAAAAAGCAACATTCATAAAGACATAAAATTCTCCTCTCTTGCTTTCCCCTCTTCTCTGTTCTTAGGAACTCAGGAAGATTTAAATACAAAATCATAGAATTTTAGACCTGAAAATGATCTTACAAATTATCAAGATCAAAGTTATTATTTTACATATAAATTTAAGAAAAGCTCAAAGAGAGGTGACCTGCCCAATGTCACTAACTAGTGACCTAGGGGTCATGAAGTTGGTTTTCTTATCAAATATGAGAGCTAGATTCTTTAAAGTCTCTCCCAGAGTTAAAATTCTATGGAGAATTTTTCACAAAAGTATCACAAAAAGGATATTTAACATTTATAATCAGCATGTGACTCATCACAAAATTCTTATAAATGGTACAAAGTATATTACATTTTAAAATATGCAAGGGTTTCAACAGAAACTAAATATAGCAGAAATTCTACATAAAGCTGAGGTGAGTAGAGGAGGAATAAAACATCTTGAAAGTAAGATATATCCAGTCAGGCTTCTTTAGTAAAAGTGGTTCCTGTGTTTTAGAGAATATGATTTGTCCTGCAATGTATTTGAATCTTTGTTATGACAACAAAAATAGTTTTGTGTTAAATGTAGACAGGAATATTAGGGAGTGAGAGCTTATAACACAATCTGAAATATTACTCTCAGTAAAATAACCATACATCAGGGTTTTGATTATGGCACATTTCTGGAATAAAGAATAAAACTCTAGGAATGGTTAGGATTTTTATCAACATGTAGTGAATGAAAATTGCAATAATGTAAATGAAAAAAGTTATTATTAATAATTAAGAGAATACTAATAGCTGCCCATGTTTAAACTGTTCATCTAGTGACAGCAAGAAAACTAATATATATTGCCAATTCAAAATAAAAAAAGGAATGAACTATTGATACACACAACATGGATAAATCTCAAAGGCATTAGGCTGGGTGAAAAAAGCATCAAAAGGGAACATCCTGTAAGATTACACTTAGGACATTGCAGAAAAGGCAAAATTATAGTCATAGAGAACTGTTGCTAGGGTTTAGAGCTAGGAGTAGGACTACAAAGGGGCAGAATAAGGGAGTTTTGGGGGGTGATGGAATGTTCTGTATCCTGATTGCAGTGGTAGATGCAGAAATCTATTCATGTGTTAAAATTCATAGAACTGTACACCAAAAGCAAAGGTCAATTTTACTATATGTTAACTGAAAATAAAATAAATTTAAAAAACAGTAGAACAAATATCTTTCATAAAGTTGGGATTTCTAAGAAAAGTAATTTTTCAGAGCTTTGTGCCAACGATATAATTTTACTGGCCACAAAATTATTAAATGCAACTGTATTAAATAAAATCAGGAAACTAGGATCCAATTAATCATTTCTAAAATATATATACTAACAACTCATGGAAATATTATTTTAAGGAATATTAGCCCATAGTAGAAAATTCTGCTACTGCCAAGTGACAATGAATTGTGTTCCTTTACAGTTTAAACCAACAGGTACCTTGGTGTTTAGTTCAGAATCCAATAGCAGTTGGTTAAAAAAAAAATTCACTAGTCTTATCTGTTCTTAAAGTGACTAATAATGGATAACTGTGTTTTTATATTTATTTTCTCTTTCCATTATCCGAACTCATTAAAGTTATTATATGGTTGGATTTTACATGTATATCAATTATCTAGAGACTCAAAATCAGCATCTGGAAATACTGCTGGATGCTCTGTCACTAGAACCAAGAATATTTTAAGAGAGGAACACTATATCTCTAGGTACACCACTGGGACTTATATATAATGTATGAGATAAGACAGCATCCCATCAGTTTTATCATGTCTCCCACACTTTGGAACTGATAGAAGTTTGGAAAGAATACCATGTGTAGGCAGACCAGAAAGAAGACCAAAAGATGGGGGGGAAATGCAATATTACAAATGCTGCATTTCTATAGAAAGACTTGCCTAACAGAATGATATAAGGCTTACATAACAAGGTGTGATTCTAATTATAGTACAGTTTGCCTTTTGAGATCATGCCTGGGTAGTTTTTCACCACTGCTTCTGCCATGGACAGAGGTTAAATGCTTTTTGAGGGCAGATTTGTGCTTGAAATCCATGTCACAACAGTGGCACTTATATGGTCGATCCCCACTGTGTATGTTCAAGTGGTCCTGAAGCGTGCTTTTAGCAGTAAATGTCTTCAAGCACACTGTACACTGAAAGGGCCTTATGCCCATGTGCCCTCGAATGTGCCGGTTGAGATTTTTCTTCTGTGTAAATGTTTTCCCGCACTGTAAGCACAAGAACAGTTTATGCATCTTAAGGTGGCGCAAATAGTTTTCAACGTGAAGAAATCCTCGAGGACACCTAGGGCACTGGTGCCTCAGTGAATAAGCATCATCCAGATTCTGAATCTCATTCACTGTACCATGACTTCGTTCGGTATTCTCACAAAATAAGCCCTGATCTTGATTTCCAGGAACTTCTGCCACTCCACTCTCAACCGTAGAATTGATCAGTGAATGCTGTGTTTCAGAGAAATACATGCTTGCTTTTGAAGAGGTACAAGGCTGTGAAAACTGCCCATTTTCTACACCAGCGGTACTGATAGATTCCACATGGAGGATACAAATTTCATTGTCTTTAAAACCTATATCTACTGAAGACAGCTCTGGCGACTTCATTTCCTTTCTCTCTGATGTCAAGCTCTCTACTGTAGACTGTAAAGTGTTGCTTTCCTCTTCTTTAACGTGGAAATCTATGTTTACAGGACTATCTTCTGAAATTTCAATTATCTCACAGTCTTTATCCGAATTTTCTTCTTCATTCTTAACATCAGGATCAGAAGATTGACACAGGTCATTATGTTGATTGTTGTTTTTCATAGAAAGATCAATTTCCAGATAATTTGACAAGGCTTCTGTGCACTTTTCCACAATGTGAACCATCTGAAGGTAACTAGCAGCAGTCAAGTATTTCAAAAGCTCTTTCCTTTTAACTTCAAGTGCTCCAGTATAGCAAGAGAGCAACAATTTTCTGCCAACTTCTGCACTCTGCAAGATGGTGATTCTGACATGTTTTGACTGCGTGAGTAAAAACTGATCTCTCATGAAAGTGGAACAAGCAGCTAAAATCACCTTGTGCCCCTGGAACTCAGTGTCATTAATATAAATTGACACATCACAAAATAAATTCTGCTGTCTCAAGAGATTCATTTTCTGCAAGACTACATCTCCTTGCTGTTCAAACTGGAAGTGTAGAACATCAGACTCAGCAGCCATGGTCACAATCTAAGCAAAATAAAACACAAACATTGACGTATGGATAGGGAATGCTTTCCTACCGTAAAAACAAACAAAAAATCCCAAACCTGAATTAGGTAAAAGAAGACTCAAATTCTAATCTGGATGCTAAGAGTGAACCCCTATGCCACTATCTCAAAACCCAGAAAATTAAATGCATTTCTCTATGATCTCGTCCCACATTTTACATATTTTTGTTACAGCACTTATTACACAGAACTGTACTTAACGGCTTCTGTATTTGTCTCCTTGGCTAAATTTTATGCGCCTTGTGGTCAAGGACACTGCTAACGCCCACCACTAAGTGGATTTAACAGTTTCCCAAATTAGAAACCTTAATGTAATCTCCCAAGTTCCTACTCCACATCACTACTGCAGGTGCTCATTCTGTTCACCTGGACCATTGCAATGTCTTCCAACAGGTCTCCTTGATACTACACTCTCTTATATTCCAAACTACCCTCCTGAGTGCCACCAAAATTAACAAATTTCAAAACCTTTCTTTTTTCTTCTCTCCTGCTTTAAATCCGCCATTGCTCTCCTCTACCTCCAGCACAGCCTAACCTTCTTAGCAAATACAAGATCCTTCGTGATTTGGCCCTAACCGCCTTTATGGCTTTATCTTAATTCTCTTTTTTATCGAATCTCTTTCCATATTTAGATTTTCACCATTGCCTAGACAAGAAGACCCGAATACACCTTTGCACGTTACATTCCCGCTTCCAGTTCTTTTTTCCAGCTAGTGATTTGGCTCCCTTAAGGCCCAAATCAAATAAGACTTCTGTGACTCCTCCCCCTGTCTCCCCCACAGTCAGCTGCTTCCAGAGCACCACGAAATGGTGCCTGGTTCATCTGAGTTCCTGCAGCGAACGCAGGGGCCAGTGCAGAGCAGGGGCAGGTTGGAGAACATCTGTTGAACTGAATCCGGATCCCAGGTGGCCTGGAAGATCCTTCAGTGAGCCACACGGGTCTTCCGGAGCCAAGCCTGCCAGGACCAAGGCCCTGTCAGCCAGGTGGTTGCAGGGCCAGTCTAGCCACTCCCGGGCCGCGCCGAGCTGCCCTTCTCCTCCTCAGGCTTCCCCATCTGCCCGCGTCTCCGGCGCGCTCACTCACCGACTCAGAACACCAGAGCCGAGATTTCCGCGGCAGCGACGGCGCGGGCCGGAAGGTGGACTTAGCCTGGGAGGAAACACATCCGGTGTCAACTAGCTTTATTCCTCCCTGGGGCGGGCTGGGCGTCCCGGAAGGACATCCTGAGACATTCTCCCTTCATCGCTCCCCCCGCTCCTGGATGACAGAGAGGCACCCAGATTCCGGCGAATCTCCTCTCTCCTGTCCCAGTTTCGGCACGCGAGGTGTTCCCATTCGCGAGTTCTCCTCCACATCCGAATCGGAGACGGGTTGTGAAGTTGGGTTACAGCACGTCCGTCAGAGTACCCAGCGCCGGGACTCCTGGGAGGCCTGCACAGATGATTATGGGCCGGGTCCTCTCCTCACTGGGCCATCTACAATTGAAAAGGTGGCGGAGGAAAGAAGAGACTGCCATAGGATCAGTATTCCAGATTGCCCCATCAGGATCTGGCCCCAACCTGTGGATCTCATTTCACCCCTCAGTCTGTCGCTTCCGCCCCGCCCCCTCCTTCTCCTCTCCACTCCTTAGTTCTCGGGCACACCTAGGCCTTCTATCTAAACTCGTGGCCCGGCCGTTTCCTGCAATATGCCCAATCCCTCCTCCCACTTATCCTTCAAAATCCCATTCATACATCTCATCATCCCTGAAGCCACCCTGAACTGCCCCTGAATTAGTTGATTCCCAGTTGGGAGCTTGTAAACCCTTGGGCTGCTTTCACGGTTGCAATTATTTTACCTGTATTGAAATCTGTGTCCCATCTAAGCAGAGGTTATTTAGGGCAGTGATCTTAGCTTTCCCAAAATCTACCACTTAGTAGGCAGCAAGTATTTGCCAAATGAAGGAATTTCAGCCAATTCTTAAAAGCAGTTGCTTTACCCCTTCAGTCAACATGTTCTCATGTAACTAACCCTAGTCACAATTTCTGGTTAACCCACATTTTCTTCTGAAGCCAAGTTCAGTGTGCTTGATTAATGTGTGTTTTAAAGAATAGGAGTGAAGAAGGCATTTCTGTATTCAAATTAAAGCAAATGAAAAGGAAAGCAGGAGGGGAGAAAAAATAAACCACTGACACCAGAGCTTTAACTGTCACACTTTTATTAAGGAAACTTCCCCATAATAAGTGAAGAGGTAGTTCATAGTATGTCTAACATACAACACATTTAGAACAGCTATTCACCAGCTGAAATAAAATGTTCTAAGTTGTTTGTTTAGGACAATATTTTAAAAGTAGTGACACTGGTCACCCTCCTTTTATAGGACTTCTAATAAAGAAACTAAAACAAATTAAAACCACATCTGATTTACCTCAGAGTCACTTCAGTTTGGAGTTTGTCTTTAAAATTAAATAATAAATAAATAAATGACTGTGACACAGTAATTTTTTTAAAACCAAACTATGATAAAAAGAGTTCTCTCTCTTTTTTAGTTATCCTGGGGATCCATAAAATACAAATGCTGATGACTAAGGTTTTAAAAAAATCTTCCCTCTACAGGAATATGACTAGTTTTGAAAGTCATCTTCCCCTATAAAACGTATTTGTTATCAGTAACTTGACCACTTTGCAATACAATCTAGGAAACATGTATAAACAAAGAAGGAGAAAAGTCAAGTCCCACCAAATTAAGAAAATGTCTCACAGAAACAGAACACCTCTCCAGCCAAGAAATGGAGGAGACTGTAAATCAATTCACTGGTTTGCAGTTGCAAAAGGTGAGAACTAGACATTTTACTGATACGGAAGCATCAAGATGCTGATTTTAGTGATCAAAGAAAGCAAGGCAGTTTTCTTTATTATTCCTAGTATAAAATCAAATTGACACCTTATCTCACTAAGACCACATGAGACTGTAAGCTCCATGAGGGGAGGGACCATAGCAATCTTACCTTCATATCCTCAGTATCTAGCACAGTACCTGGCAACAGTAGGTGCTCAAGAAATGTTTCTTGAATGACTGAATGAACCCAGAAATAGTCTCTAACCAAAGAGACCAATCTTATTTGAACCCATGCTTTTCAGTCTTCAAACCAGTAACAAAACAAGACATGAATGTAAGCAAAGGAAGCACTCCAACTTGACATTTCCCTGTGATGAAATGATGTTCGGAGAAAATATTGAAATGTTTAACACGTTAGTGTCTCACTGCTGCATAGTATTGGTACTCTTTGGCTGGATCATATAAAAATTAGAATGCTAGGAAACATCATTAGACCATATGATGAGTGATGATAGGCATAAGATACCTATTAGTCTTTTCGCTCAATTGTATTCTCATTTTAAATCTTTTAACAAAAAGTAGAAATTATACCTCAAATCAGATTCACATGTAAATGCATCAAATTATAACAACTTGAAGAATTCCCTCTGACTACTCAAGTTAAACCTAATTTTTGGTTTCAGTGCATGCATTCTCATAGCTCAAAAATAACAACAGAAAATCCTGATGGAAACTAAATAAACACTGCTTCCAGACAAAATCAGTTTCATATTTGGATCCTTCTCACATTATTCTTATTTATCCTTTCCCTCCCTAACCAACACCCAGCAAATCAGTCACTTGCTTAGGAAGAATGTAATATTTATTCTAACCAAAAAATAATTAACTAACAAAAATAAATCCTTCTGTGATATTTTGTTTGCAAAATCCAGGCTGTCTCAGAAAGCCTACAGGGATTCACAAAGGTGGAGCACAAACTAGGAGCTTTTTGCTAATGTATTCTTGATCATGTACTAAATCTTTTTAAGCCAAGGGACATTAGCTCATATTTAGTCACTCAACTACTTTGGCCAACCTTGGCCAGGCCACCTCTTTGGGCTTTGAATATCCCAATCAAAAAAAAAGAGGTGGAGTAAATGATGTCTTAAGATTCTCTAAAGATTCTAACACTCCTATTACTGAAATCTAACTCATAGGTCAGAAACTAATAAGACTCAAAATTTTATTTCTGAACTATATATAATGTGCTTTAGGAAAAACAGTTTGGAACAATATGGAACAGTCTTTCATACTGGAAGATCAACTTTGTATTAGTGATTTATCAAAGGTGGCAAGGTGGGACTGTGTACCTTCATAGGAACATCGAATGCAAAAACCTGATTGCTCCTTCTGTGACCCACTTTTTTCATCCATTTTAGAAATTAAGGTACATGAGGAAATGAGAATTCAGAGGCTATTACGGTACACTGGACAAAACTCTGAAGGCCAAACTCACCTTTCTGATGGCTAACGTCTAAAACAAAGCCCAGAAACTCCCAAATCGCTCCTTTTTAGAGAGACCATTACACTTGAGCACGTTTTAAGTGTGCGTGGAGTAATCCTGACTTCAAAAGCATCAACAAGTTACATATTAATTATAAGCATTGGCTTCTTTTTGGGAAAATCTCCCACGTAAGTACTGTTGTACAACTGTACTTCTATCCTTTGTTGATGATGCTCCTCATGGTGATTCCTAACTTTTTGTCTGCAGGTGTCGCTGAAAAGATTGTATTCTGGTCTATGTGAACATGAAGTTGGGCCATAATGCTGTTGAAAAGAGTACAGAACCCAAAATACTACTTTATAACCAGCTCCAAGACAAGTACAAATGGTAGGAAATAGATTCATTCATTTATCAGACATAGATGAATTATCAATAGGCACCAGAAGTTCTATCACATATTCAGGCCAATAGCAATATCACCTTATATCTCAGCCTATTTTCTGCCAAAGAAAAATATTATTCACTTCTCTTAGCATAGCATCTACTAGTGGAGTGTAGGTGATGTTATTAACTTGTTGGTACCTTCAGAATGTGCCCGGTGAAAAGCCTAAAATAGTGTCAGTCTAAGACATAAGTCAATGTTAGGTAGACAAATGGAATAACTCCTTGGGAAAGGAAAACAGACATCACAGGATAAATAATTCAAAACAGAAAATGGGAGAGGGCAAAAGGAAGGCAAGACCACTTCAAGTGGTAAGTTGCCTGGTCTGTTAGTGCTTTGACTCACCCCTACAACATGCACAGAGGCTTTGGAGAAGTCAAACTAGCAAAATCACTCCTAAAAACACTGAGACTATTGCCACAGTTTCAGTCAGTTCTAGTTGTGAGCATAAAGCCCCTACTCAATTCACACAAGTACTATCATTCCTTAAGTTCAGGACAGCTTGGGCCAGTTTACCTGCATCCAGGACCTGTGTTGCATCAGGTTGTGGCTGACAACCTTTAGAGTCTGTGACTGTTGTACATGCAAAAGAATCAAAATCCACTGTGAGGTCTTGCACATTTCTTTCATTGGCATTATCAAAGCTGTTTTTGCCATGCAGCTGTTTAAGGTGTTTCCTCAAAACTGGCTTATGTGCAAAAACCATGTCACAATAGTTACACTTATGGGGCTTATCTCCACTGTGAAGGTTAAGATGATCCTGTAAGGAACACTTCTGAGAAAAGGTTTTCCCACAGATCTTACACTGGAAAGGTTTAATGCCGGCATGCACACGCATGTGTCGATGAAGGTTGCCTTTCTGAGTAAAAGTCTTGCCGCAGAGTAGACACATAAAGAGTTTGTGCATTTTTAAATGGTTGGCGTAGTTCTCCAGGTGACGAAACACCCTGGTACACTTTGGGCACTGGTGATGCCACTGTAGGCCTTTGTCTACACCTCGAATATTAGGCCCAAAGACATCTTTTGAGGCCATGATGATGTTATCACTGCCTGTGTAAGAGAGGGCATAATTGTGGAGATGGTTTTGTTCTATTTCACTTACTCTGTTTTCCACAGTTGAATTTATCAGGGAGTGCTGGGGCTCTGATGAATGTAAAGCAGTGGGTTCAGAAGAAATAAACTGGTTCTGATCTTTTTTACTTCTAACCTCTGATACATCCCCAATAGATTCTACCTTAACAATCTGAATATCACTGTCCTCCATATCCATACTGTCTTCAGATGGATGAATACAAGGTGAGTCCTGCTTTGGAGAGCCTCTGGCATCTCCCTGTTGTTCTTTTGACTGGGGAGAAGCACTCTGCGGTTCACATCCCTCTTTACTATCCATTGGTTGTT